AAATAAGCTATCGTTTTAAATTTAAATCCAAAACAAAACAGGCAACTAAGCTTTACTTCTCAATTGATTAGGAAATCTCAAGACAAGACATGATGTAAATAGTAAAGGGAAAAATAGACAATGCATTGAACACTTACACGCAGAGAGACACCAAGAGAGGGAAAAATAACCATACCAGCTCTTTTGCATCCTTCTTTTGCTGCCTGGTTGGCTTGTCCGGATACTGGGAGAAAACAACTAGGAAAATTAAGCATGCTAACTAACTGTATCTCTCATTAAAAAACACGTCCAATGTATTGAAATGTGAAACAGCAAGGTATTAGATAGATGACAGTATATATAGCTCAAAGTATTAAAAAGTACCACAATAGTAAAAAATTAAAAATAACCGGAAAATCTGTGGGATAAATGAATAAGAAAAGACCTGAGCAGCAAGAGTGTGACGAAAAGTCCAGGAGCCTTCCAAGTTCTTCTTTAGTCATTCGACCAGAAGATTTGCCCTAAAGAATAAGCAAGAAGTAGATCAATAAAATCTGGGACCCCTAAATTAAGTATAGTGCTTCGATCTTCAATATAACAGGACTAGCATGAACAATTAAAATTCAGAGAAAGAAGATCTTCATTATATAAGTATGATAATAAGGAAAAATATACTGGATGGGGTTATCTGAAGCAGAATTATATATTTAAGCATTCAAAGCAGGTTAGATTCGTGTGTTAGATATCTGGCTTCAGAAACATCTAATTTCCTAGAATACAATGAGAAAATTTGCAGCTGTAATCGTGAAAATCAATTCTCTGTCATCCATAGAAAAACCTGCACTGAAGTTAAGAAATAGATGTATTGAAACATAACTTCTTTTCTATAATCTAAATACGTGCTTCAAGTTCACGTCTCTTCAGACGAACCGATAAAAGAAGCGTAGGCTAATTTTTGAGCATATGTAAACAAATCATTCGCATAAAGTAGAAGAAGAAAGCGCAGTAAAATGTAGTTAGTTCGATACGATTAAGATTTGGTGTTACATTTTAAAATATCAACCTTATTAAGAGAAGTAGCGCTAATTTTTTAGTCTTAATAAGATTAATTGTTCGTTATAGCTTAATGGGCTCTAAAACCATATTATAACTTGAAATTTTATTTTATAAGATCAATTTTATTAAGAGGAGTAATATAAGCCCTTATGCCATATTTGATTCTCTTTAAATTAAAATTCTTTATTTCTCATGCTTATTTTCAACCACACGTTCACATGTTAAAATATTCTGTACGTAGACTTAAAACTTCTTCCTACTTTTTAACTATACACTTTCCAAAAATAGCTATTTAAAACATCATTTCCCCGTTCCGTTTATAATGACCATCAAATATGGGCGATATATATTGGTACCGATGTGAAATTTATCCAATAACATATGAAGATGGTGGCTCATTTGAGTAAATCAATCTCGAAATTCGCGTGCTCACTTATCATTCTTAATTGGAGCAAATTGCTTGCTGGAGGTGTAGCCCAGGCACTTATATATTAATCTATATTTTTATATTTCGGTAATCATCTCTCGTGGGATTTATCCCTTAACAAACACTCACACAAAGAATATGCATCCGGAACTTTCATCAGACAGTTATTATGCGAGCAGTAGCCCACTGTAATAGAAAAATGAAGATACGGAACCCATATTTACAGTAAAATAGCTAATTAAATTTTGAAAAAAATGGTGAAAATGGACTACCTTTTTGAAAATTTCAGCAGACTGGAGAAGATGAGAATCCGCGGTCGAGTTTGGGGAGATATATAGTGAAGAGTGGTCATTTTGGTTGAGCGAAAGTGAAGGTCGATGGGAGCGGAGAATGAACTGTGAAAGATGGGTTTGAACACACACTGAGACTTTGCCAAACGCTTGGAGAAGATGCTGCAGTGGATTTTCAGCCATTGTTGACAGATGAGAATCTAGTTTTCTCCGCGTTGCACACACTAGCGTAAAGATTGAAGAAGAGTCTTGTTTTCATGCAGATGCAGAAATTTTGAAATTGTGGAAGTTCAATTTTAATTACAAATTTCATCAATTTTCATCAAAATTTGTTATATATTTTATATAAAAAAAATTAACCATCTTTTTTAAAGGTAAATTAAACACATTTGATTGGTTGGTAAATTATAGAGTAAATTTCATTCATGATAATTATATTTTTACTCTAATGT